GGTTATTGATAGTGGTGCTACGTTGCATGTGACTCCAAGGAAGGAATTCTTCACATCCTTAAAGTCTGGCAGTTTTGGCAAATTGAAAATGGGCAATGATGCAGTTGCAGAGGTTGTTGGTATTGGAGATGTCTGCTTAGAGACTCAGATGGGTACTAAGTTGCTCCTAAAAGATGTTAGGTATGCTCCCGATGTCCGCTTGAATCTTATTTCTGTTCATAGACTTGATGATGAAGGTTATGAAAACCATTTTGGTGGTGGAAAATGGAAGCTTAAAAGGGGAAATCTGGTAGTGGCTCGTGGCAAAAAGGAGTCCAAACTGTATCGATTGGAAAGTGTACTCTCTGGTGATGTGAAAGGTGATGTGAATGCTATAGAAAGTTCAAAAGCATCACATTTGTGGCATCGTAGGCTCAGTCATATTAGTGAGAAGGGGCTGAATCTTTTGGCTAAGAAAGATGTACTGCCTGGTTTGAAGAATGCAGAGTTGGAGAAGTGTTATCACTGCTTGGCAGGAAAACAGACCAGAATATCCCTCAAGAAGCATTCTTCTTCGAGACGTGCTGAGTTACTTGAGTTGGTGCATTCTGATGTGTGTGGACCTTTGAAGGTGAGATCATGGGGTGGTGCTTATTACTTCGTGACATTCATTGATGATCATTCCAGGAAACTTTGGGTCTATGCTTTGAAGACCAAAGATCAAGTGCTTGATAACTTTAAAGAATTTCATGCATTAGTTGAGAGACAATCTGGAAAGAAACTGAAGTGTGTCCGTTCTGACAACGGGGGAGAGTATAGTGGCCCTTTTGATGAGTATTGTAGGAAGCATGATATTAGACATGAGAAGACCCCTCCAAAGACTCCTCAGTTGAATGGTGTGGCAGAAAGAATGAACAGAACATTACTTGAGAGAGTAAGAAGCTTGCTTTCTGAAGCTAAGCTACCTCGAATGTTCTGGGGAGAGGCATTGTACACTGTGGCACATGTGATTAATTTTAGCCCCGTTGTTGTCCTTGATGGTGATGTCCCTGATAGTGTGTGGTTTGGAAAGAATATTTCCTATGACCACTTGAGGGTGTTTGGCTGCAAGGCATTTGTGCATGTTCCAAAAAATGAGAGGTCAAAGCTTGATGCAAAGACCAGACAGTGTATATTTCTTGGCTATGGTGGTGATGAATTTGGTTACAGATTGTATGATCCAGTGGAGAAGAAATTGGTTAGAAGCCGTGATGTGGTATTCATGGAAAACCAAACCATTGAAGATATTGATAAGGCGAGGAGAGCAAATCCCACAGATAGCTATGAGCTTATTGATGTAGAACCGGTTAGA